ACCATCCCCCAGAGCAGGGAGGATGGATGGTTGGATATTTTCCCTGGAGTGTTTTTCTTTGCCATCCCAAATCCAGAGACCAGCCTTCCCAGAAAAATACCCTGAGAAACAGCAGAGTTTTCAGTACCAAGAAAAGCTCTGCGCTCGCTTTGGGAAGGTCAGGAGGCCATTTGGGTCAGGCTGTTCAATCCCTTTCTCAAACTGCCCGTAAGGGGCTGCCGGCTGCACCCTGCCTGTCCGGCAGCACCATGAAACGCTTCCTGCCCCGCGTTGGCTCTGCTGCCGGTGTCATTGGCCTGTGCTGTGGGAGCTCTCCCAATGCGGGGGGAGCTTTGAGGACTCTATGGGTGCTGAAATAGCCTCCTTCATGCTGCACCCAGGAGCCTTTTCTCCTTTAATGTGCAAAAGAGCCATCGGCGCTTTTGTTGCAGAGCTCGAGCAGTGGTCTAAGACGTCTGGGGTTAGTTGAATTGGTGCTGTCTTTCTGTCCATTCTCTAGATTCATTTGACAATGCTGGCCAAAGGCTATCGGGGGACCAAACACTGCCCAGAGCTCCAAGGGCTGAGGCCGGGAAGGCTGCAGGTATCAGGAGAGGGGAAGGCAGCAGTGAGGAAAGGGCCTGCTGCCGAGATGTGTCCTGGGCCAATGCCAGCCCACATCTTCTGGGGTGTCTTAGTTTGCTGCCACCTTGTCCCTTTCTCACCCCATCTCAAGGATGGGCAGCTCTAGCTCCGGAGCGAGAGCCGGTGTGTGCTTTGAGCGGCCTGGTCATCTCCTTAGGGCTGTGTTTGGGAGCCCTGGGCCTTCTTGGAGGCTCTTTAACAACATAGCGTTGGCCAAAGGTCCTCATGCCCATTCTTCAGCTCTCTGCCTTTGAAATGGGATTAGTTTGCTTTTTGAAATACTTTGAGAACTACTGGTATAATGTCTGTATAAAAGCTAGGTGTTTATTCTGTTACCAAATGCCTCACATCTATCTTTAAGCAATGAGGATAGTACTAGGAACAAAAGAGGTTAATGATAAGGAATAAAGAGGCTAATGGGAAAATATGAATTTAAATATCTCTAAACAACTTTAAATAGCATCTGGACACTTGAATTCTGGTAGAAGCATACATTATTCATATTACTTTGGAAGCGGTTTAAGCCAAATTTAGAAAATGCTACTGTTATTCTAGAGCAAGCATTCCTCTTGATGATATGCTGTTGTAGCTGTATTAATTGTGGTAGTTTAAGTGATTAAACTTTCCCACGTCGGCAAGATCTTAGCAGGAAAACAGCCTGCGGGTCAGGCCGCTCAGTGGCCTTCATGGGTCACTTTGTGCCCAAATGTGTCTTCTGAGAAAGGGAGGACGCAGCAAGAGGAGCGCCGAGCACTGTGAGTGAAACTGCAGCAGCGTAGTACAGTATCAGTCTGTGCACATTCATATTTTCCTTGGCAAGTTATATGACTGTAAACAGCAAAATATTCCAAGGCAGTTTTTTCTTCTTGCCTGAGCAATGATTTTTCCTTACACATCTCTGCTCTGATTTTATTGATTCTGCATGTAGCAGAGATACTTTTCCTCTTTTATTAGAGTTTTTTCTTCCCCACTCTTTTACTATTTTTGATTACTTTGTCTGTAGATGGCAGAAGACTGATTCTAGGGGTTGCTTCAGGGCCTCAATTTTTTTTTTTTCCCCCCCAAAGGAACCAGTGTCTGTAGCACACAGTGGAGCAGACAGGAAGGGAGAGAGCATCCACACGGCTCAGCAAGGATTGTCCGTTTCCTCATCCGTCCGTGTTTCAGGCCATTAGAGCAGAGTCCTGTTGGCCTCTGCATCTCATGTTCTGGCCAAGGATAAGATGTTAAGGCAAATTTATCGTGACTTCTTGTTTGTGTCCCAGGTAGCACAAGCACTAGCAGTTGCAGCTTGCTCGTGTGTTTCTGGAGTGTGTCTTCTGCTCTGGATTCATCTTACGGAATAATGCTCGTGCTCCACAAAGAACAGGAGTGAGCAGAGCTTTACTGTACAAGCATCCCACTGCTCTGAACTGAAACACGCAGGGATACACACTGGCTAGGAAGCCTTTTGTATGCAAGCAGACTTCTTAGTCTTCCATTCTTATGCCTGCAATCAGAATATAGTGCAAAGTATAGAAGAATTTTAGCCTTGGCCAAATTAAGCAAGTCTCTAGGAGTTAGAGCTTTGGATTAGCCTCTGCATGTGCTCTATCCGTGGAGAGCTCCTCTAGCAGATGATAATTTTCTTTCTGGCTCAGAGTCAAGGGAGGTGGATGCTGCTTCATGTTTTGTCTTGCCCTTTTTAAGGAACATGCAAGAAAAATGTGAAGAGCAGGACTCTCACTCAGGCCCAGAGCCTCTCCAACGCACCCTCTTATGCGGGTGAAGTTCAGAGTATCCCTGGGGCTGCTCTTATTTGACCTGGTCCCTGATGATTCCCTTCCAGCCCGTTGCCTGAACGGAGTCCAATCTCAGGAGAAAATTGATTCCAACCCATCTTCAACTTACCTGCTTCCTTCTTAAAAACATAGGTGTGGTGGCTAAATCCAAAGGTTATGTACCCCTGTGCAGTGCTGCTCTTGAGGAAAATGGACCAAGACAGGAGAAGGAAAAGCAAGCTGATGTATAATATATGTGTGCATAGAGAACTGAGGAGCTTAGGAGAGCACAGGGTCGGTCTAAGAACGATAGAAAGTGTTACGCTGTCATGTTCTGGCTCTGCCTCAGCACCTCCACCCCCTTTTTCATGATTTTGTTTGATGTCTTTCAAATCTGCGTCAGATACAATACGATGCAGAACGTTTTTTTGTGGTCAGCTTGCGTGTAGTAAACACAGCCTTTTGTAACGCTAGGGTGTGGGCCGTGTCGAGCTTGGAACCATCACTCCTTGGCAAGCTGCAAGGTTGTGAATGCATTGGAGGGAAATTTTCTCCGCATCTTTGATCAGCTTCTTTAAGTATCTGCATGGGCTCCAGAAGCACAAGCTGGTCAACTGTCAGAAGAGAAGGGAGCATAGTGATTGCGTTAGCGACAGGATGAGATAATGCAGGAATTGCCATTTGTTGACAACCTATTCTTGGGAACAGTTGTGGCAAAGTTTCTGAATCTTCGGGGAGCATATAGGATTTTGGATTGACTGTTACAGAAGAATTGTGTTTATCAGTAGGTTGTTTCTTCCTAAAAGAGTATAGGAAGCATTATACCTGTAAGCATGCACCTAAATCTTCCAGAAGTGGTATTTTCTTCTCACTACGTTCCTTGACGTAGCACCTTTTCAATCCCTTTACCGGGAAGAACTCCGTTGTTAAATGCTTGGTCTGTGCTCAAAGGGGCTGCAGGACGGACGCTCTAGACACTTGACCCACGAGGTGCTCTGTCTTCAGTTGCAAGATTCACATTCTCCTTTGTGCCATGTGGACCCCAAGGAGCAGCTCTCAGGCAGCCTTGCTCTGAGGCTGTCCTTGCCCTGGCATCTGCTCAGCGTAAACAAGAGTCATCGTGAGGACTTTCTGCTGCTTGTCACTCCCGGGGGCTACTTTTAACCTTCTATCCCCAGAATCACCCTCCTGTCCAGAGTGCCAGCATGAGCAACAGGAGGCCAAGGGCAGATTTGCAGCACCCTTCTGCTTGACTTTGCCTGGACAGTATCCAGTCCAGGCAAAGGACAGTATCCTTTGCAGTATCCAACATGGAAACGTTTCTAGATATATGCACTAAAGAGAAGCAATCGGGATATGTGGCTAATTTAAAGGCAAACAGGCTCAGGGGGTAAATTTCCATCCCTAAGGCGAGAGAGACAGGAATCTCCTCTGTGCCAAGGCAGGTCAATCAAACCCTAATTGGCTCTAATTGATGTTAACCACAAGTCACTGAATTCTTTTCCTACTCTTGTTCTGCACTTGAATGACTTTCTGTTCCCTGCCACTGCAGAGAGCAGTTCCCACCTTCCTGGCCTGACCCTCCTCACTGACCCTCTCCTCTTCTGTAATGACCCCTGCCCCAGCCAGAAGAGAGGTGAATTTTGGGAAGCCTCCCCTGAGTTTGCAACCATCCAGGCTTCACTGCAAACTCTGCCCTTTTATTTTTACTGTTTCATGGTGATCTTCAACTTTCGTACCTTTGCAAAATACCAGCGCTGCCACTCTCTACAGCTGGCTTTACTGGGAAAGGTTCTTGGTGTAACTCTGTGAGCACCCAGGTGATCTGACGAGCAATCTGTTTGGGATCACACTGTCAGCACAGGAGCTCTAGTTGTGTTAGATTGCATTTATAAACGAGGCAACATCATCTTCAGGACCGCATACCTTTTTGTTAGTGTATCTTGGCATACTGATGTACTTCCTGTCAGCACAGGAGCTCTAGTTGTGTTTGACTGCATTTATAAATGAGGCAACATCATCTTCAGGACTGTATACCTTTTTGTTGGTGTATCTTGGCATACTGATGTACTTAAGTGAAGCAAAATGATGGTGGAAGCACTGATTTCCATCCCTTCCCTCTGCTATGCACATTCTCATTATCTTTCTGCACAGAGCTACAAAATCTTTGCCTGCCCTGTGAGATGGGCCTGGGGCTGGAAAATAAAGTTAAGAAAAAGCACAGTTGATCAAGGCCTGGCTGCAGCAAGAAAGATGAGGTTTGGATAAGGCAGGTTCAACGGCTGCTTTTTGTAGCATGGCCAAGGAAAAGGCCTTCCTATTTCATTGCTCAGTCTTCTCCAGGCTCTTGGTAGCCCCTCACTGAGTGCAGCAGGTTGGACTGAATCGGAGCTCAGAGCCGTGCAGAGCTTTGTGCTGAGTAGGTGCCTTGGTGCAGTGGGGATGGATTGGGTGAGGACTAGCAGGCTAGTGGGGCCCAGACTCCCTTATGATCCAGTGTCTACCAAAATGCTGCACCCACTGCAAGGGGAGTAGTTTTTAAGCTTCCTGTTTTTTTTTTTTTTTTTAACCAGTTTGCATTCATAACCAATATTTGTGTTTGCCTGCTCTCCTCAGGGTTTTCCTGGTGATTTTGGAGAACGAGGACCTCCAGGCATCGATGGGAACCCAGTAAGTCAGCAGTTTTTCTCCTCTCTTAGTGTTTTATTTGCTGCCACTTTGTGCTGGGTCATGTTGGTTGGACCTGAAAGAAGCTCTCAGGAGTTTGGTGTTAGCTGTTACAAAATGCTCCTAGCATTTTATTGCTGTCCCTCCTAAAAAGCAAACATTCATCTCTGTCCTGCTTTTGCCTGCTGCTAATTCCTGCATTTGACTCTGCATCCAGCAGCATTCAGGTCATCATGTTGCCATCTGCTTTCTGTTTCACTTTATTTTTTTCTTGCACCATGTTCCCACTGGATGCTTTCTCAGGAGCAGGCCTGGTACTCAGCTGCATGGCAACCTGAGGTAGTACATGGAGACAGAAGCATTTTCCTCACCATGTTTTCAACTTACCTCATTTTCTAATGCACTTGTGTGTGTCTTCAGGCTGTAGATATGTGAATTTCTAAAGCCCTTGGTGCTTAGTGCCCCTCCTTGTCAGAAGCCAACAGCAGTGCAAGAAGTGCCAGGTTGCCAGTGCCAGAGTCTGGCTGCTCTGAGGAGCAGTTGTGCCCAGGAAGCCACAGCCCAGGCTGCTGGGGCTCTCCTGCCCATGGAGCAGCCAGCCCTGGCACTGCAGTGACAAAGTCCTGCAGGGCACGGAGGTCTTGTCTTAACTCAGGTTTTCATCCCACTCCCTCTTTAGGAATGGGATGTGTGTCCTGGGAATTGTGCCAGGATGGTCCTAGAAACAGCTGAAGGAGCTAGATGCTGATAAGATTTATTTTGCTCTTGTAGCAATTAATGCTGCACGGTTGTACACATGCTGTGTTTTTTGCTGCTCACAAAACATGCCCCAGAGCATTGCAGATATTCTCACATGTATTATTCAGAATGATTTTCTGAATGATTTTGTCAGTTCTTCCTCAATTAGCAGATGAGCAGCTCCTGACTTGTCTTTGAAATTCATGCTGTGTTGGTTGCTTAACACATAATCACACATAATCACGGTGGTGTTCCTGATGGAGTGATTTGTGTGAAGAAACCCACTCCACATATGTCTTTAAGTTCCCATTCACGATACACTCAACATAAAAGTCATTTTCCACAAGCTACTCTAATCAGCTCAGCTGTACTGCAGCCTTCATGGGAATTCAGCACAAGAGTCAGGAAGGGAGCGAAGTGAAAGAGTTAGGTTCCCAAGGAACATTTCTGCAGACCTTTTCCCATCCTGCAGTCATCTTAAGTTGTGGGTCAGAGTGGAACTAGCAGTCCCAAAGAAGAAGACTTTCTAGATTGTATTACTGTTTCCTCACAGCAAGCCAGCAAGCCCACCAGGAAGAGCAGGAATTTTGGAGGTCACAAAGACTTCTTTTTTTCCACATAATTTGTTTTGTTTTCTTTTAAATTTGCAAGATATCTATGCCCTATTCAAAAGATGTGTGTAATGTTAACTGAATGCTAGTTCCCAGTGCATTGGAGAGAAGCAAATGCCCTCTCCTTTAATTCATGCAGAAGGATTGCTGCTCTTTCATCTTATCAACGGGTTTTAAATATTAATGTGCCTTGGAGATTGTAGAATGAAAACAGACTGTTTCAGCTGACTTAAAGGGAGGTTCACAGGGTCACAAGTGGAGTCACAGACGCAGAAAAATGCCAGAAAGTCTGTTTGCGGAACACACAAATATGCCGAGTTTAGTAGGTGGAGAATGCAGCTAAATTGTAGGCAGGCGGGAAGTCCTGAGCTGCCCCTTCCTCTGGAGGATGCACCGAGCGCCCGCGTTGCCGGCGCGTGGGGACGGCTGAGCCCGGCTGTCCCTGATCTTCTCCATCCTTTCCAGACAGAGGAAGGACTCGTGCAACCGCAGGGGTGTTTTTCCCTCTTACCAGCTTGCTGAGAACTGTCGAGCCATCACATTCCATATCCTCTGTTCCCGGAGTGCCTCAGCCACTCGAATTAGTCCCTTAATCACAGGAATTGGACATGGGAAAGGGCTGTTGATTCATCTTCTTGTCTCTTGTCCCAGTCCCTGACTCACACATGGCAAAGGAGGAGGGAGCCTCGTTCTGCTTGCAGATCAGGGACTGGGCTATCATCCTTGATAGCCAAGACAGGGCACCTGTGAAATCTCCTCTTCCCAGGCTAGAGAATGCCTCAAATGAGCAACTACTCCTTTTTCCCTCTCCTAGAGGAATCTGCTTCCCCTTCTTCCCACGAGGAAAGCCTGGCAGTGAGCCTGCAGTAGACACGAAGCTGTGCATATCTACATCGATCCTATGTTTTGAGGACATTAACTCGAAAATGTGATCAGTCCCATCTGTAATAGGGGTGGACCAAGAGCAACCATCTACCCTGTCTTTATCTCACCCATCCTTGGGTGAGAAGAGCAGCCAAGAAAGGCAACTCCTGCACTAGACATTCCTAAGGATATTCCCTCTCCTTGCGGAATCCAGCAGTGCCAGGCCTGGCCTGAAGGTTTGAAGCTGACCTTATTACAGTAGCTTGGAGGACACAGAAATCTCACCCATGAGGAACAGTTTCTCTACAGATGTCCCAAGCACGCAGGAAAGGAACTGGCCAAGAAAAAGCAATTCTGGCTGGTTAGGATTATGAAACACTTCTTGTGTATGCTTGCCCAATAGTTCTTTACTCCACTTCCCCTAAAATAAACACACATAACCCTTTGCCCAAGAAGGCCAAGCGTGTTCAGTCATGTTGCATCCCCCTCTTTCATTCTTTCACTAGGCAAATCTTTCCATAAAAGGGGAGCTTTGTTGCACCGAAGGGGACTCCACCAGATGTATGCCATAACCCCAGGGAGTGGGTCAGAGGAAGCAGACGACATGATCTAGAGCAGGGTAGGGTTGTCTCGGCCAACAGGAAGTTTATTACTTTCAATGCACTTGATTTGGGAGGCCCTCCTGGAGATGGAGGGTCTGTGTTTGAGAGCAGGTTTTGGCCTCAACAAGCAAACCAGCTCTCAAGGCCACAAGGAATCTGCTAAGGAAGATTAGGTCAAAGTGCTAAAGTAAAAACCTGCAGAAAAGGAGGCCTAGACAGGTGATTCATATCGATCTGAGGCAACTTCCCTGCTGCACTTCACATCAAAACGGTACGAGGCACCTGCCTGCACTACTGACACCTGCACATCTTGAGCAGTCTGGCACAGAGGGAGCTTGTGGTGAAGCTGCAAACTGAAGCCAAATCTCTTGAGCCCCAGCCCAGGGCCATGACCACAACCCCCATTAGCATCCAGGCTGCCCCTCAGATGGTGAGTTCTGAACCACCTCTGGAAAGACTCTGAGAAGAGCCAGCCCTTTCCGAAGTTCCCTGCTGAAGAGCTGGCTGGAAGCGATGGCAAATCGGCACGGAGCAGGGAGGAAACCCTGCACTTCATCTCCAGCCCTTTGCGGTATGATAAAAAACAACTTGTCCTGTAAGCAGTTGGCGAGCTCCCTGCTCCAGCAATAGAGGTGCAGAGCCATCGCCCCATGGACAAGCTGCAGCCCAAAGGCTTTTTTTTTCTTTTTTTCTTTCTTTTTTTTTGTGTGTGCACAAAGCCATGAAGCTGTGTCCGGCTTTTCATTTTATTGCTTCTGAAATACTCCCCAAAACTCCCCTTTCCCCACACAAAGCAGCATTCTGCCCCTCTTTCAGCTTTGCTTTGCTCCTCTTCACTGCCTTCCCCTGCACCTTCCTCTCGGCTGGGGCTGGCTCTCGCGCTGCCTCCCCCTGCACGCAGTGAAATGCTCCTTTTACGCAGCCTGCCCCTGGGAAGGGGGGTCAGTCCTGCCAGGAGGTGCAGAACAAGAAGCAGCCTGTGTCCGGGTGCCTCCTCCCGGAGCACACGCTCCAAGAGCCAGGCTCAGCATCGCTCGGGATACGGGAAGGGACTGGAGGGGAGCGGAAGGGGGAGGGTGGCTGGGGCTCCCAGCCAGTGCCCTGGCGGCTGAGTGGAGACAAGGTAGGCCATGGCAGCTGGCTTTCTTCCCAGTGTCCCTGTGCAGGAGCAGGTAGGGGTATGTGCACAAAGCCATGAAGCTGTGTCCGGCTTTTCATTTTATTGCTTCTGAAATACTCCCCAGAACTCCCCTTTCCCCCCATAAAGCAGATCTTGCCCCTCTTTCCTGTTGAGCTTTGCTGTCGCAGTCCCTGCCACTTGCCCATCTCCGCTGCCCTCCCTGCACCTTCCTCTCGGCTGGGGCT